AAATCTAAGGATAAATTCTCAGGCACTAAAGAATCATACTTTTCATTAATATCTATCACTGAAATGAATGAAAGTGTATCAGTGCCCAGTGGTCCAGAAGTTGAGATAAAGTCACATCTACATTAGAATGGGAGAACAAGATCTGAGGCTCATTGAGGCGACACACTGGAATTTTAAGAACTGAAGGTTTAGCTTTTAATGAGGGTCTGCCCTTAAAGAACTCTCAATATCGTGAAGAAATTGCTTAACAACAAAGTTTAGCAAAGTTTGAAGCTCACTGTTCACATCTATAACTAACATTTCTCATAGCATGAGATCTTCTCTTACCTATTGTTCTCACTGAATACTGTAATTGGAAAGAATACGGGAGCCCTGTAATAAGAAATATGATGAAGCCAAGCAAATATTTTATCCTGACTTAAGTAGAAGCTTAAACTTCTTAGATTTCTTTTGTTAAAATCCATATAACAGATAACTATTATAACTGTCTTGATGTTGGCATTCATTTTTAATTCTAACAGCTAAGATCTCATTGCAGTATGTCATAAATTATAAGTCAGTGACTTAGACTTAGATGTCCTTGCTCATACTATCAAGCTAGGTTTTGCAGGGGATATGGGGAAGAGTTCAGAAGTTTCTCGGCTAGCTTCATCAAACCAGAGGTTATGGAGCAAATGCCCAGCTGTTTGGCAGTTTTTCACTGTGAGAATCTGCATTTGGAGATAGAGGAGTCTTTTCCCTTCAAAGTCAGAACAGAATGTTACAGTTCCTGGTACCTCACAAGTTCCCTTTTATGGATTTAGAGAAGTTGCCTGGTTCTCAGCCTTCCTATCTTCGTTAATTCCACATTCACATAGGATTCAAAGAAATTAGATAAAATAATAATGCATTAGGAAGAAGAAATCAAAGAGGTTGTGATTACTTTTAATTATGTTACGAAGAATGGAAAGTAAGTGAAATTTACTGTCCTGTGGGTGATACTTTAATAAGTTGTGACTATACTTAAGGATGGCCATATTGTGTCTCCTTTAATTCAAAAAGCTTTCCCTTGAGAAGAAAGGACCAATCCGTTTAAATCATATTTTCCTGTCAAAATAGCTTTGTCAAAGCAATATGGATTGTACCTCAAAATTTTCCTAAACTGATTGTCATTTCACAGGTAGTTAGATTATGTACATTTTAAAAGCCCAATAAATTAGAAAGTAATATCTGATTAACCTACACATATTTTAAGGAGTATTTTCTAATAATCTTATCAGGATATTAGATGATGCTTTTTAGGTAATAAATTTATTTATGAGTGACTCTGGTATTAAGTGAAATCAGTGTGGTTAGCCATCTTCATATTCTTCCAAAAATAGTTTTTAATGAAAAGTTAGGAAGAAAATAATTCAAGACATTCATACATTAATAACTAAAGGAGTTCACTTTATAGTTGCCGAGTTTCTTGGAAAGATGGCTCTGTGGCCAGTGGTTTGAGAGATTTTGCACATACCTGTGTCTCTCTGAGATTGAAATGTCTAGAAGCACAACAAAAAGCTCTCAGAAGGCTCACAGTATACATTATCTTTATACTTTAGCATCTCTCAAGCTTATTTGAAGACCACCTCTTTGATTTTTCTTTCCAAAACATTTAACCTAAGACTAATCATGAAGAAAATCAGGCAGATTTCAGCAGAGGGATGTTCTACAATGTATTTGACCTGCATCCTACAATGCTGTGAAAGTCAAAGTCACAGCAGAACCAAAAGAAATATGAAAACTAAAGTAATACAGTACCCTAAATGAAATCCTTAGTCACTTTGTCATTGCTAGGACAAAACAAAATTAGAAAGAAAACTAGGTGCTCTAAATAAATGATAAATGTTAGCTAATTGTAGTTAATATTGTATCAATATTGGTTTATTAATTATAATAATACATACTGATTCATGGTATAATACGTATACCATGCTAGTAGAAGATGTCCAAAATAAGTGAACTTGTGCAGTAAGATCATGGGAATTCTTTAAAATTTGCGATTTTTTCCTGTAAATCTAAAACTATCCTAAAATTATAAGCCCTGTTAATTTTTTTAAAGGATGCATAAATAAGATGTGCTTCTATGAAAAATTTCCTATTTAAAATAGGAGATCGGACCATATTATTTCCATAATGAAACATTAAAAAAAGAATATTGAAATTTTAATTCAGCTTAAGGAATAGTAAAGAAATTGAAGCATGTAATAGTTCAGATGCTGGAAGCAAATCTATTAGAATATTGTGATTGAGAAGGTCACAATTTGAATCTGGGTTCTTTCATGATCTAGACACATGAAGGTACTAACAGCTCCAGAAATGTAATGTTTACACTCTCATTTTAGGTCTTCCAGTAGTATTTTACTAAAGACAATAGTAGAATGTATTGATGAATGTATTGCAGAATTGTCTTTATAAAAGATGTTGCTAATTTTTTATATGTGTGCATGAAGTGGTTAATTCTAAAGATACATGCTTTCACTCTGGCTCTTTTTCTGGGACACTTGCCATGGCTGGCTTGGAATGTTTATTCAGGGTGCCTGTGCAATATCTGGGGACAAATTTATAAGTAACTTTTACTCTTGTACTTGATTAAGTGTTTAAGCCCCTATTTATGCTAGCGATTCCAGATAAACTTATATGTTTAATATGTAATGTTCGGTGGTATAACTAGCAATGTAATTGTAAAAACAACAGCAAATGTAATAAACATCATTTATTGAACACAGTAGGGGCTGTGTTGTTTTAACTTTGTAACAACCTGTCTTAGTCACATTTTCATTGCTGGGACAAAATACCCAACACCCGCAACTCAAAGGTGGAGAGATTTATCTTGGCTCATGTTTTAGGAGTTTCAGTCCTTGCATGATCGGTAACTTGGCAGAAGGCCCTGAGTGAAGAAAAGCTGCCCAAGGCATGGCAGACAAGGCAGAGAGTGAAGAGGGGAGTGGAGAAGAGATGAACCCTTCCAGGCCATGCCCTAGTGACCCGCCTTTTCTGACCAAACCCCACCTGCTAACCGCAGGTCACTGTGAGCCCCCATTATCCAATCATCTCCCAAAAGCCCTGCCTATGAACACATGTGCTCAAGGGGGACTTGTAGATATTAATCATAACACAAGCCAATAAACTAGTAATTGTCCTGGATTTACAGATAAGAAAGCGACTCTGTGTATACAGTCCTTTGCCCATATTTGGTAAGTCAGGGATGTCCCTTGTCTTACAAGCCTTCCAATCAGTGTTTGAAGAACTAACCTCACATCTCATTTAAGTATGTTCTTACAAAAGATCAGTGCCACCATTTTGGTAAAGAGTTCAGAGATGGTTTGGTGTTGAAACTGAATTAAATGATTGAATTCACCTAGCTCTACTTGGTAGGACTAGGAAGCAGTGGAAGCTGAGGACTGATTTGAAATTCAGTTAGAAACGAACAGGTGCTTTTAGAAACCTGATCAAAAAGCTTACTTTCACAACAGCTGAATTTATCTGTAGTGTCTACACAGACCTTGGCAATAACAAGTAGTTTGGGCTTTAGGCGTTTTTTGTTTGCTTGTTTGGAGATCTTTGCTTTGCTTACATTTTTGAATATAGGAAGGTATTCTGTTTCTATCAATAACATCCATCTCCTATATTTTCATTCTTACTGAGGGAAACATAAGTCATCAATGAGGCTACGTCACTGGCAACAGTTTTCCAAACTGAATGGTGAATCACCTCTCATCCATTACATCTCCAAACTTGGCAGCCTCCACATATAAGAGAAGGTTGTGTGGTATCTGCCGCTCAACATTTATAGAGCACCTCCCCCTCAGATAGTCCATTGTTTGCTGTAACTTGCAGCTTCCTAACATTTCGATAATTTAACTTTCTCAGATCTTATTTAACTCAGTTGTGAAATTATGCCACAAGATTAAACATGGGCCTAATACTGTATTTTTATCCTTTCTCTGTATTATATATTAATACAAAATGTTGTTCCTTCTTAAGCTATGCATAGGGATAAAGAGAACCTGTTGAAAAATTAAGACAAAATTATCTTTCTTTTAATTTCAGTATTTCAGAAAAGCATATCTGCCTATGGCTTAAATTGAACTTTGAAACTGAAATTTTAGCCAGTCTTTTCTAGGTTCCACTGAAGCTTGTTCTTTAAGAGAATTCTGGAGTGATTTGCAATGACCTAATGTTTTTCCTTTATAGTTTCTCTCTCACACTTTTCTATCCAGTTTTTTTTTTTCTTCTTGTTCATAGTACAGATTTCCTTCCCCTAGGCTAAAAGATTCCTTGACTTTAATGGGCAGTCAACATTCAAGACCTCAAATCAATGAAAATTAGTTAAGATGTATCCTTAAATTTCAAACATTAGTTTTCTTAAGAACATTCATAGAATGATGGTGCTAATATATTCCAAGGATAAATACTTTAGAAACTGTATTACGCAAAGAATCAACAATGGCTTGTCGGGCATGGTGACACACGCCTGTAATCCCAGCACTCAGGGTCAGAGGCAGAAGGATCGCTGTGAGTTTGAGACCAGCCTGGGCTACATAGTGAGTTCCAGGTCAGTCTCAACTACATAATGACACCCTGTCTCAAAAAACAACAAAAAAGCAATGGCTAGTTCTTGACATTAAAAGAGGATTATTGAGCCGTGGCATTTGCCACTACTTGGAAGGCTGAGGCAGGTACATTGGAAGTTTGAGGTCAGCTTAGCAAGACTGTGTCTCAAAATAAAAAGGGCTAAGGATACAGTTCAGTGGTAGAATGCTTATGCAAAACCTTGGGTTCAATTCCCAGCACCAAAAAAAAAAAAAAAAAAAAAAAAAAAGAGGGAGAGAGGAAAAGAAGAGGGTTATTGAAATGCCTTTTTGACTATAGCACACCAGTGATTATGCTACAAATTTTCCTCATCTTGATACTACTGGTATCAGATCAGATTTCTCCAAAGTGATGGATGGTTACCATTTGTCTTGTTCCATTTGCAGAAATTGCATAGTTTTGAAGAATGGCAGATGAACGAAAAGATGAAGCGAAGGCGCCTCACTGGACCTCAGCTCAATTGACAGAGGCATCTGCACACCCACATCCACCTGAGATTAAGGACCAAGCTGGGGCAGGGGACGGACTTGTCCGAAGTGCCAATGGATTCCCATACAGAGAGGATGAAGAGGGCGCCTATGGAGAGCATGGGCCACAGGGCACCTATTCAGATACCAAAGAGAATGGGATCAATGGAGAGCTGACCTCAGCTGACAGAGAAACAGCAGGTAACTAAGGGCCCACTGTCATGAGTACTTACTTTGTGCTTTGTAGTCAGTTTAGTTAGTCTGAAGGTGAAGTAATTTACTGTACTTCTTTCCTTTCACTAGGGTTAGGGCTGAAATTGCAGTTGAAACAGCACAGGAGAAACAGGCACAAAAGGGAGAGAAAAGACATGGTCACTAGTCTGACGTCCCCAAATTAGTTATAATCTCAATTCCATTTCCCTTTTAATTTTTATTGCTTTGATTTTTACAGAAAAATAGCTCATGTGTGTATATTTTGCTAGAAATTATCAGCATTTTAATCTATTTAAAAAACTTTTCTCTTTGATTCCCATGACTGATGTTGGCCCTCAGTTTAAGAATTGATTAGAAACCTATTTACTTTATAGAAAGATATATAAAATCCATTCACAAACTTCAAAAGAAAAAGATTAAAAACAAAGCAAACATACATGTATAGATATAGGAACCATTTCAAACTTTCTCAGCTATTTAAAAATGATATACAGGTACTTGAAGGCAAACATAATTTAGTTTACTTTCTTTTCACAATATGACTTCTACCAACAGTTTACTCTATTATTGATTATATTATCATTAGTAGCAGTTATTTTGCAACATTTATGGCACAGAAATATTAGCCTGCACTGTATTATTTTTCATCATCATTTTCCTTTATAATTCAGAACTTAATGTATTTAAACTCACTGACTTGCATACAGCAACTTACCATCCAAAAGAGTGAGCAAATTATGAGAACAAAAGCTATGCCACCTTCAAAGTCATCACTTACTTGTTTGAGGATTGGTTCTGTAATCCTCAAATCAGACAATTAATCCTAAACATTTATGGATAGTAAAATATATTTAAAAATATAAAATATATTAAAAAATATATTAAAGTGTGTAAAAGTGATAAAGTGTGTCCTTAGCATGAGTAAGTTCCCAAGTTTCATTCATAGCACCAACACCTCCCTCATAAACGTACACAAAACAAGTTTATGTGTACATATGTAAATTTTAATATGGAATTGTGGAAAGCACTTCAAATGACAGAGGAGAAAGTACATGAGTACTCAGGGATATTTTTAAAAATCTACTCACACCAAAAACTACTGTGGAGAACTTTCTATGTACAAGACCTCATGTTAGCTTCTGTGCAAGGATGTATACAAGAAATATACCCTCAACTTCATGGATCAGATGCTGTTACAGCACACAAGACCTGTGCATGAAGTAAATTCAGATCCAGAGGATAACATGAAGGGTCAAATGAGAAGTACAGAAAGGCAGATTTGAAGAGGGATTGTTTATACCAAATGCCAGTATTCTCAAATTGTGTACTGATGCCTCTTGCAGTGGTAACCAAACTGACAGAGATACAGCCAGGTATTTTAAATATTAAGGAAAATACCATGACACTCAGCCTCTGTCAAGCACTACCTCAGCTATTAACTCAAGAAGACTCACAGTTTCTACATTAGATGACACTGTACTCCTTTTGAATATGACATCTTTGAAAGCTGAATTTTCAGCAGTTGCTCTGATAAAAAGCGGGTACCTTACAGAAATCCATGCAGATCAGGAAGAGAAGGTAGCAACATCCAATCTGATTTGAGAATCCAGAAACTATGCACAGCTTTATATAGTTTATTAGGAAGAAATACTGTAGCTAAGAATGAAATTAAAATATTTTCTCACCTCTCAGATGCAGTGAAGACTAAAGTAAGATTATAAAGTGTATAAAATGAATAGTCCAAGAAGTGATAGCCCTTATTTATTGGTGAGATGATGGTAGCAATGAGGACAATAGGTACTCTTGACTAAGGAATATTTTTCTCCAGCTGGGCATAACATAACTTGAAAAGGATGGGGCTCGCACATCAGGAGTGTAAACTAAGGGATTTTAAAGGAGTTGAGGTATGAGCAGTTGAGGACACCTTAGAGTGTAACAGTTGAGAGGAACAATGGAGATAATGTAGTAGAACAAGATTCTTCTCATCACCATATCCTGGAGTACTCAGTATCACATCTCCAATCCTCAATGACTGTATATTGAATGAAAGAATGAATGAATCAATGAATACCTGAATGCAAAAAGGAAAAAAATATTTTTCAAATTAATAGGGAAACTACTATAAAAAGTCTAGCATTGTCGCTTGGACACTCGTCATTTGATTCTCATTCACTGTGGTGCTTGTTCAGAAAAGCAGCAGAGAATATCCTTTACTGGTGCATTTGTTCAATGATCTTAATGAAGTATTTAAGTGCATCGGCATCAGAAAAATATATTTGCCAGGTCAGTCTGTCCTTGCCTGCTTCTTTGAGAAAATAAGTTTTAAAAAAGACTAACAGATGTTTCTTTTAAGATACAGTTTCAGGAGCTTCCTGAATTAATTTTGAAGTCAGCTTAACTTGTATCAATGAGTCTTATATTATCTTTGGGAGTTGATTGCCAAGGTTTTATATGTATGTTTATAGTGACAGAGGTGGTAAATAATCAGCAGTCAGCTACCACAGTGATATTTTCAACCCAAACTATGATAGAATTTTAAACTAACTCTCTCTTCAAAATAACAGGTCAAAATATCAAAACCATAAAATATGTGAATGTGGAAAGTTATAAATAAAGGAAAATATAAAATTTATATTTTCTCATACATCTAAAAAATATTTCATTAAGTTCCTGTGTGGTTAATTTCACTCCAAACACTAGCTTAATAAATGATAATTTTTATCATTGCTGATTTATGGATAACTTTAATAAATTATGCAATGAAGTAATCTCCAATAAAAGAAGTGCTCTTAAATCTCAAATATGGTCTTTAAAAATGCTATTTTTCAATGATGGAGACCATGGATATGAGCTGGCAATATATTTGAAATACTTGTTTATTTTAAAGAAGCTATATACCAGCTTATTCTTTGATCATTCATATACAATCTGTCAGAATGTTGCAGTTTTCCCCTGTAAAAGGTGATCCTGGCTGGGCATGGTGCTACATGCCTATAGACCCAGCTGCTTGGGAAAGAGAAATAGAAGAATCACCTGGACACATGAGTTTAAAGCCTACCTAAGCAACATAGCAAGGCTCTGAAACAGAAAAATAAACAATAGTAATGACAAACCAACAAATAAAAAAGATGCTCCTTAAAACAGTTCACATGAAGAATTCTCAAGGATAACAAGACCTCAGCTCTATGTCATGCTTGAATCCAAAAATCTTTCTCTTTTTTCTTTCTATAGTTCTCTCTTCATTTTTAGACATAAATTTTCTGCAAAGTTATTTCTTTCCATTCATCTCTATAAATAAGATTGTGTCATCAGTGGCTTGCAATTATGTGTTCCACCCTCTCCCTTCCTTCACAAGATGAGCCTACTTAGCCAAAGCTCTTATTTTCCCTAGCTCACCCTTTGTAGAGTTAATTTTCATGCATGGGCCATAATAATATTTAAAAATGACAGTCCATAGTCAGCTTATCATTGATCTTCTGCACTAAGACCAAGGGCAGGAAGGATAGGGAATATTAGGAGGAAATAATAGTTTAAGTTATATTGTTTACAACTCACTCTTCAAGGTTTTATCTACTTCCATATAGTTTAAAGCTAGTCCATAGAAAGATAAAATTATTTTCTCAGCTATAATCTCTGATGCTTTAAGATTTTTTTTTTTAATTGCTGGACTGTTCTTTTGCGAAACTATGCCACAAAAGCATAAAAAGAGAAATGTGATGGTATTGAGAATCTAGCCACTAAAGAAAATTCTTGTTATATTGAGATGACGGCAACATTTAAAAATTGTTTTTCAAAATATGAATAAGAAGAGTAACAGCGTGTGATAATCTCTTCCTGCCTCTTTTTTTCCACTGTGTTGAACATGGCAAAGGAATGCGTTTTGGTTCCTATAAACTTGCCACTCAGTGACAAGTGAGGCACCTCATCTGTAAGCTTCTCATCTATATTCTGTCTGTTTATAGGATCATCAGCAAACGCTCGTGTCCACAAAGTAGTAGTTTCCTATTTCTTAACCTGTTCTGAAAAATGCCATCACTTTAGCATCACTCATTTTCCATCAGTTGAGAGGAAAATATTTTTCTAATTCCCTATTTGTCCCTCAAGAGCTGCTTACAGAGCTATTATTAAAATACAGTCTGCTCTCATGTTGGTAGGTTTCCACATTTATAGGTAAAACCAATGATGGATCAAAAATATTTGGGAAAAGTACTGCATCTATACTAAAAAGGCAGGCTTTTGTCACTATTCTATAAACATTACATTGTAACAACTACTTCCATAATATTCGCATTGTACTACGTATTCTATGCAATCTAGAGATTATTTGAAGTATATGGAAAAATGTACACGGGACATCTGCAAATAGTATAACATTTTACATAAGAGACTTGGAAATTCAAAGATTTTGATTCCAGTCATTAGTGTCTTCATTTACAAATAAGAACTGTTACAGTAATGAATCGTTAAATGACTTGCCTATGGTTGCAAAGAGAGAACACTGGGAGCACGTTATGAACATCATGCTCGGGAATCCAGTACGATTCTTCCTATGGAACTGTCCCCCATACAAGAAGCAATATGGGATTTTTCTATAGTTTATAATTTATCTGGCTGTGCAGACATCCTCATGGCTGTGAAAAATTTTGAAGTTCTTTTTAATGAGGGGCAGTTTGTTTTGTTGTACCTTTTCTGGTTCTCAGGACTACAGTGCTTTTTTAAATTTTAGGATGTGCCCTTTATTAGACAGCACTAATGGAATCTACTGATTTTCTATCATAGTTATGGATAATAAGACAGAAAGCTAGGAGGGACCTGTAAGGTGACCTCTTACGTATCTTTTATTTATAGGTTTAGTCACCCATCTAAGATCACATGACTATTTCCAGAACCCACCTCTCTTGTCTTCTAGACTAATGTTCTTTTTGATGTCCCCTCTGCCAGATTGGAACTAGAAGTCAGTCACAGCACTCATTATAGGCAAAGAGGAT